TAATAAAATATAATTATAGAAAAAAAAAGAGTCATAGTCAACTTGAGAGCATGTAGCAACAAAGTTCTTAAAAAGCAAGACAAAAAATGTAATTGGAAAGATATTTTATTATTAAAGTATTCCCTAACAGGGGAAAAAAAAAAATAACAGATAATTACAAGCAGGCTATTTGCTCTTTGAGACTGACAAGCATGCAACCTACTGTTAGAAACCACAAAATCCCTTCTTCTGGGTTCTCTGTGACCTGCTAATAAGCAGAGAAAATGGAGTTGTTCAGGACTCAGAAACTGCTCGATGCTGCTAAACACCAAGATTGGGGCTGCCTCATCCTTGAGGCTTGCTTGGCTGCCCACTTCTGCACTTGCTTGGAAATTACTCATGCAAAGTAGGTGCCACAAGCAAATGATAACTGTCCTTCAGCTAAAGGGGCTTTTATGTTTAAAGTTAAGTCCTATTATTAAGAATTTTCTTAGGACCTACTCATCACACTGACACCTTATTTGGTACAAACATTTATCATGCTCAGCTTTAACTGAAAAAACAGTGGTTAGAGTGCACCCAGAGGCACCTCAGAAGAAAGATGTGGCAATCTACTTCAAAACCAACAAAATACATCCCCCCTCAAAAAAATCCCCACAACCCCAGTGGTTGTTGATAACCCCTTAAAGAATAAGGGGTGTAGCACATTTATGCTCTGACTTGCTGCAGAAAACAAAAACATATCGCCTTAAATATGGATTACATCTCAACATCAAGAAAACAAAAATCCTCACCACTGGACCAATAGGTAATGTCATGATGTTGTTGTTAAGTGCTATCAAGCCATAGACCACTCATAGCAACCCTATGAACGAAAGATCTGAACACTTGTATAACTTTCATCATTTCTCCAAGTTCATAGAGTTTCTGGAGGCAAGCTATTTCAGAAGTGGATGCTACTCCTGCTCCCAAGCTTGTTTTAATTGGAAAGCTCCACCAAACACTGTCCACCATGGGTAACCATCATCACACTTGACACATCAGTGTCATAGTGTTCAGCTTCACAGCAACCACAAGTTACCTCTGTACAGCAGCAAATGGGCAGAGGGCTATACCACTTAGAAGAATGTTTGACCAAAAACAATTAAAACCAGGCCTGAGGGTCGCATATTAAAATCACGCACCTTTGGCTTGGTAGCATCGCTTTCTGTCCACTAGGCCAACAGAGCTCTCTCTATGTTGGTAATGTCATGATAGATGAAGAAAATAGTGAAGTTGTCAACAATGGAATTTTTCTTGAATTCCAAATCAACACCCATAGTAGCAGCAGTCAAGAAATCAAGACACTGGGAAGTTGACTGTCTTAGATGCTAAGAGCTAGGATTTCAATTTAAAGACCCCTGACCAGAACCATGGTAGTTTCAGTTTTTTCCTATACATTTGAAAGTTGGACAATGAATAAAAAAAAAAAACCTAAAGAAAAATTGATACCTTTAGGAATTTATGTGTTGCTTACGAGTATTGAATATATTGACTATCAAAAGAACAAACCTAACTTGAAGGAAAAGATAAGGACTTTTTTCTCATTTACTTTGGGCCAGTTGTCAGAAGCAACCAGTCCTTTATAAAGGCATCATGCTGGGAATGGTGAGGAGTCAGAGAAAGAGAGAAAGATCCCCACCAAGACAGATTGACACAGTTACTACTGCAACAATGGTCTTTAGCATGGCAGAGATTGGTGCAAGATAGTGCAGATGGTGCAGGATAGAATAAGGTTCTGATTTGTGGTTTATAGGGTTGCTTTTTTTTTAAAGCAGGAATAGCATCCACTCCCTAAACAACATACCTCTGGAAACTCTATAAACTTGGAGAAATATCGATAGTTGGAGAGGGGCTCCATGCCTTTTGTTCAAAGGGTCGCTATGAGTCGTGCTAGACTGCAAGGCAATCAATAACAACAACAACAAGGGTTGCTTTATAGGGTGCTCTGGTGGCCTAGTGGTAAGAAACTGTGCTGCAATCCCAAAGGCACTCAGTTCAAATCCATCAGCTGCTCTGTGGGAGAAAAAGAAACAATCTCCTCTTGTGAGATTAACTGCCTCTGAAAAACCACTGGAGGGTCAGCTATGCATTGGTCCAACTTGATGGCAAACAACAATAGGGTCGTGTTATGGGGTCTTTGTTTATGATACCTAATAACAGTCATTCACTACTCAAGAAAAATATCTATAATTAAGAACAGTGTCCTCAAGTAATGTCCCAGATCTCTCCTCCCTGGGCCATACCTCAACATTTTAAAATGGAACCAATAGCAGCAGATATAATAACTTTACTACCCTGTGTCCAAAATCTGTAACCTTAACCAGATGGTGAGAAAGGTGCCTACAGCTGCTGCCACAGTTCAATGGGTCTGGCTTGATTATAATTTCCTCCAAGAGGGGAAGAGACCTTTGCTCAGAGGATGAAAAGAGAGACAAACAGACTAAGGGTGTTTTTAAAAAGCAAGATCATAGACAGATCCCAAATATATTGAACTAAAATACCTAGGGAATGAGACTTAGGTGTCTGCATTTTACCAAATAAGGATAATTCTAAAACATGAAAAAAATTATTTCCAGCAGTTTAAAAGCCCTGCAATTTTCCATTCCTATTGTCTTAGTCATAAAAGCACCTGCACTGAGACAGTAGCACAGGGCACTGGTGTGTAATTTGTTGTCTTCTTTCCCACAAAGACCATGCTTGTGCCTAAATGGGGTGGTTAGTTTACGGGCGAGACCTCAGAAGGGGCCAGTAAGAATAGCAGGCAATATGCACAAGCTAATATCTTCCAGCTCTCAATAATGGTCACAGCCCATTTAAAAAAAAAAAGAAAAGAAAAACAAGGAATTAATGAAATATTATACAAAATGGGTGATCCTGGAGGACATTATGCTGAGTGAAATATCTCAGTACACAAAAAGACAAATACTGCATAGTGCCTCTGTTGTCAAGTGCGACTGACATTGGAGTTGGGGGGAAACTAAGAGGGGATAAATAATGTATACTACATTGAAAGAGATGAGGGAGAGAACTGTTTAAGAGGAATATATGATTAAGCATTATTATCTTGACAAAAGTCCAGAATGAAAGCTTCATAGTGAAATAGACTGGGGTGGGGGAGGGGGTTATTGTATAACAGTGAAAGTTGGGGTTTTTTTTTTTCACTTTTCAAAGAGGAAAGTTAACTGGGGGTGGGGTGGGGTGGACAGGGAGGAAAGTGTGCAACAATGAATGAATGAAAACCTAAGGTCTCTATAAACTTTCATTAAAATATATATGTTAAATAAATAAATAAATGATTGTGAAGAAAAAAAAATAGCAAAAATCACAGAAGGCATCATGTAGTGTCATCAGCCTACAGAAAATTTTGTGTTTGAACAACCATCCTCCATGACTGAAAAGAAGGCAATTTCAGTTTAGGACACTGAAAACAGCACTTACCGATTACAACTATTCTCCTTCTTTTCCTGTAAACCGGTAAGCAACTAAAAATAAAACCAAATAAGCAAACAACGGTAACCACTGGAGACTTAGCATTTACAGTAGTAAATGAGAGCTCAGTGGGTAAGGCTGGAAGTATCACCCATGTGCTATTAGTGTGTGATGCTAGAAAGCATAATGAAGGGTAACTTCACCTAGAAGAGATTTCCTCTTCTCTACTAAAAGCTGGTATAAGTACAGAAATAAGGAATGATGTACTTGAAAGTTCAAAACCTTAGGGGAAATAGGGGTATTCTTTTCCATTCTTCTCACTTGCCACTCCCTCACTTCATAGACTGCATGGAGGAGGGACAGTAGAGAGAAGCAAGCAGATAGAGACAGAATAGAAAAAGGTACAAGATAGGAGAAGAAGGCAAAGGAGGTGACAGAAAGGGGAATGAGAGAGATGAGAAACTGACAAGAGAATTAAAAATAATGACAAAAGAGACAGGAAAAAATAGAGAGCTAGAAGTGAAAGAGTAAAAGACATTAAAATTACAGGGAAATGAAAGGCAAAGAGGCTGAAGATGAATGAAAGAGAAATAAGGAGGCGGAGGGCCAAAATAGAGGGATGGAAAGACAGGTGAGCAACAGAGATTGGGGACAGATGGACACTGGATGTACTATTATTCTTTGATGTATCATTATCTAGGAAACATATAACATCTTCTAATAAAATGAATGATAAAACATGTTAAATTATTTGTGTTTGTGGCTTGCTATTAAAAAAGCAACATTAAACACCTAAAACCTTAAAGTGCTTTACATTTTTTCCACCTTTCTGAGCATACTTTATCTGCAGGTCTATATCCATCAGCAGACAAAACCATGGAGACAATCAAAACAGTTGCTTAAATCTATAATTGTGATCTCTGAAGGGATGACAGATGTTAGATGGAAATTCAGTGACCAGCAGGTCTGTTACTACACTTGTATACCTTTTGAAAAAACCTGCCTGCATCCCTTTTTGTTGCTAGGAAAGGGAGGAAAAGCACACACAGGAAATGTAGATAAGAAGTCAGATGGGATTAATAGACTTAGTTCCTGCTGTATTTCACTGAAAAGATACTTAAATAGTGATACTTAACAGTGCAAGTACTTACATCAGCACCCAATTTCGTTAACATGTGGCAAAAGAAAGCATCAACCTCTCTCTCTTCTATGTAACCTTTTTCTAAAAATAAAAAGATAAGTGTAAATAAGAATCACAAATAGGAAGTGATATCTTAGTATTTATCTTAATTTGTCTTTAGCATCACATAGAAATTGTGATAATCCTCATGAACATAGTTCTTTGCCCTTCCAATCACCATGTGCATATCAAAGACACAGATTTTTTTTTTTTTAGCAGTAACCACATGTTCCAAAGTAGATGCTTTACATTTAGGCCTATATTAATACTTAAAAAGTAAAAACTACTTAATAAAAAGTTTTACCCCATGAATAAGAATGAGTTTTAAAATAAAATCAAGTCTTTTTTAAAATTGCCAGAATGCAACTATTGCATTGTAGTTTGCAGAATTAAAATATACCTTTTAGATTTTTAACAAAAAGCAAACATTAAGAACTTTCACATTTTTCTAAGTAGTTTCCCATCACTTGAGGGTGTCTTTTTTTAAAAGTTAACAAAATTCACCCTTCCTTAGAAATAATTGAGAGTTTATAAGTGATTCGATGGCACATAACAACAACATAATAAAGTTACTGAAAGAAAAGTAATACATTTAGGGCTAAGATAGCTAAGCTTCAATATTGAAGATGAGAATATATATCACTACCATTCTATAGGTATACTGATAAATATCTATACATATATTGTCAAATATGCATTCAAATAACTATTGGAAATCGTGTATCTCTGTGTACACACTCACACATACACAAACACACACACACATTCTTGAGTCCTTGGAAAAGGACGTCATGCTGGGAAAGAGATGAAGACCTTCAACAAGATAGACTGACACTGTGATTATAACATGGCTCCAGCACGGTGGAGACAGGAGGACCGTGTAGAATAGAGAATGTTTCAGACTCAACTGTATAAACAACATAACATACACACTTAAACAGAGAGAGAAAGATGGGAAAGGGAAACAAATTCCTCTTATTCTGTATTCTGAATTTTCAAACGTTCAAATACATTAGTTATACTGCATTACAGTGCAGGTAAGATAACTTTCCTTTCAGGGAAAGTAGTGCATAAGTAGGATGGGCACAAAGGTGCCTCTGCACCTGAACAAACAGGTGGTTTGTTTTACTCACCATCCACGTCAAAGAGCTGCCAGATCTTCCAGAAACCAGTGGCATCTAGACGCCCTGGACCCATGGCGTGAGCGCTGTCCATGGTGCTGAATACGAGGCACAGGCACCGACCTGAAAGGTAGACAAGAACACCTAGAGAACTTTAGTAACAACTCCTTTGTGATATTTTGTGACTCTCACGCCTGCTTCATTTACTCTCTGACTTGCTTTGGCGACACGTCAGCAGGCGGGCAGCGATGACTGCGGGCGAGACAGCTGGTGGCGCCACAGTGTCGGGGAGGGGACCTGGAGACTTCACGGCCCGCCCTCTGTGAACCGAGCTGCTTGGAGCCAGCGCCACACCTGAAGCTCCAACCAGCCCTGCTTGCGTGCGGCTGAGCAGGACTCCTGTCTGTCTCAGTGCTGTGGGGAATTCTGAGAGAAAGGATCTGTCTCAGGTCGTCCACGGCTCACTGCTTATGCCTTTGAATTTGTTTGTCAAACTCAGAGAAAAACATCGCTCTTCCAAACATACTTTCCAAACTTGTGTCTCCAGAGGTTTTCTAGCAAGAGCTGCCATTTTAAAAGTTTGGAAGAGGTGTCCGTGTTTCAGGCCCTTTGGATTTGGCAAATACAGTGTAGTAGTAAGAGACTGGGATGAGGTGTGGTGGCGGTGTGGGAGGGAATATTAAGCAAGAAAAGATGCAATAGCAATTGTTGAACTCTAAGAAAATACAATAAACTTTGTATATGACATACTTTGCATACATTTGCTACACTACACTACACTACACTACACTACACTACACAAAAAGGACCTTCAGATGAATAGAAACACTGCAAGGGATTGTAGTTTAAAGTGGGGTAATTAGGATACTGAGTAATACTTCTGTTCCAGGAAAAGAAAGTGTAGGGTGAGCCAGGGTGGCCATCCTCAAGATTATTGAGTAGAAAGCTTAGGTGATTGTTACTGGTGCTAAAGTAAGACTAAAAGGTAAACATTATTTGAAAAAAAGCAGAGCTTGTTTCAGTCATCACAACTGTTAAAAATGTGATTTGTGAAGTGGTGAATTAACTAACACTGACACCGTATGCTTAGAACTTTTTTTTTGAGGCATCTGTAGAAGGGGCTTCAGCTGAATCAGATATAAAATATTTATATTAATACTTCTAACTTTGCTATAGTATTCCAATGTATTCTTCAACACACACATTTCATATGACATATAAAGCAAAGTTGTGTTTGCTGTGATGTACTGTCAAGTCAAAACTAACCCATGCCTGACTTTTCAGTTGGTTTTCAGAGACAACAGCAGCAGGAAAGGAAATTGACCATCTTTCTCCCATGGAGCAGCTGATGGATTCAAAACAAATTCCTTTGGATTGGCAGTCTAACTTCTTACCCCTAGGCCCCCAGAACTCCAAGTAAGGCAGAGTAGTATTGGGGGAAATACATATTTTGTTATCATGTACTGTCATGCCAGAACAGACTCATAGCTCATCCTCCAGATAAACTTTCAGAGAAAGTAAATCACATGAAAGGCGATTGCCCAACTTGCTCCCTTGGTTCAGTGGGTGGATTTAAACTGTGTGCCTTTGAGTTGACAGCACAGATCCTTACCAATAGGCCACCAGAGTGTATATATATCTTGCATTCATTGTCAGGCTGTCCTAATACAAACTCCATCACTTGCTGGTTTTGTGGCCTTCGGCAGTTATTTTCTTCTCTCTGAGTCTCAGCTTTCCCCATCTATGAAACAGGGATTATAATATCTGGTGTGAAGGTTCTGAGAATCAAAGCAACACAGAAGTTATAGTAAATGAAAATTAGTTGTTGTTACTGTTATGTGCCATCATGTTAACTATAACTCATAGTAAATCAATGAAGAATGACTCTGAAACTTGCTCTATCCTAAGCCAAACTCATCATTTCTAACACACCGGACTCCATTACCAAAGTCACTGTGTCAATTCATCTTGTCAAGTGTCTTCCTCTCCTGCACTGGCCTTCTACCCTTCCAAGCTTGATGTCATTCTCCAGTGACTGGTCCCTTTTGGCAAGATTCCCAAAGTATGTGAGAAGTAAGTATGTGAGAAGGAGTTCACTAACTTTGCTTCCAAGTAGTACATTCATTTTACTATCTTTTGGACAGACTTGTTTATTCTCTTGGAAGTCCCTGGTATGTTCTCCATACATAGTAAATTAGAGTTACTATGATGTTGTCTGTAAATAGGGAGCTCTGGTGGCCTAGTGGTAAGAAGTTGTGCTGAAATCTTGAAGACATGGGCAGTCTTCTCCCGTGTTATTAACTGCCTCTGAAAACCCTCCAGAGAGCGACAAAACACAACAATAAGAAGATGTTGTCAATGAATTGGTATTGTTTTAAAAAAACAAAACAAAACCAACAGTTTTGAGAAACAAAGTATATGTCCGTGTGTGGTGGAGCTGGGGCTGGGAGATGACTGAGAAACTCTCACAGCTAAGAGCAGCCTAAGGAGGCATGATGATGAATTGTGACATACTATCCTAGATGGCCACAACCAACACTCTTGGCACCAACAGTTAGGAAATCAAAAGATGAGTTGTTTTGGGAAAGTCTATTGTCAAGGGCTTCTCCAGTAGAGACTAAGGTGTGCCTGATTCATGCCATGACCTTCTCAAATTACTTGCTCTGCATCCGAGAGCTGAACAATTATAAGGATGACAGGAGAAGAATTGATGCCTTTGAGTTGTGGTGCTGGAGAAGAGTACTGGACATACTATAGACTGCCAAGAGAACAAACAGGTCTGTTCCGAAGAGGGTAGAATCCGATTGCTTCTTAGAGGCAACTGTGAAGCTCCATCTTAGATGAACTTACGAAGCTCCATCTCACACATTTTGGACATATTGCCAGGAGGAATCAGGCCTTGGAGAAGGTCAACTTGCATGGAGGGGTGGAGGGTCAGCACAGGAGAGGAAGATCCTGGATGAGATGGATTGACACATTGACTGTAGCAATGAGGCCAGGTGTGTGAGAGACAGTGAGATTGGCTCAAGATAGGGCAGAGTTCAGAGCTATTGTTCATAAAGTCACTGTGAGTCATAGTCAATTTGATGGCACCTAACAGCGACAATAATATCCTGGGTGGACTTCTAAAACAGGAAAAATATATTACGGAAAAGCAAGGGCCTTAGGTTTTCCTCACTTTCAGCCAGCAAGGAGTGTCATCTGCATAACGTAGGCTGTTGATGAATCTTTCTCTAATCCTGAGGTAACATTCTTCTTCATATAGTCCAACTTCTTGAATGATTTGCTCAGCATACAGATTGAATAGGTGTGGAGAAAAGATACAGCCTTGATACAGATCTTTCTTAATTTTAAACCAGGCAGTAGTCCCTTGTTCTATTCTGACAACTACTTCCTTGTCTGTGTATAGGTTTTTTATGAGCACAGCAGTATGGTTTGTTGTTAGTATGTACCGTTGAGTTAAAATTGACTCATAGCTGCTCCTCCATTGAATTTTCAGAGGCAGCAAATTTCCTAGGAAGGGATGTTCCCATCTCTCTCCCATGGAGCAGGTGGTGGATTTGAACCATGTGCCTTTGGGTTGGTATCAACTACTTAGCACTAACAAGCCGGCAAAGCTTCCTACACCATTATGGTACCAGGTATTTAATATTGGGATACCTTACATTCCCTCATACTAAAGATATTTTCTTCTGGGAGAATGATCTATTTTTTTTATGGAAAAAGAAGACATCCATTAAGAACATATTTATATTAACACAATGGAATACTAAACTGCATTGAAAAAATGAACTCATGCAATATTCTTCAACATGGTTGACCCTCGAGGACATTGTGCTGAGTGAAATATCTCAGTCACAAAAGGACAAATACTGCATTGTGCCACTGTTGTAGAATGGGACTGACATCAGGGTTGGGGTAAGACTGAGAAAAACTGGATAAATCATGTACACTGCATTGAAATAGATGAGGGAGAGAACAATTTAAAAGCGATATATGATAGGATATTATGGTTATCACAAGAGTCCAAAATTAAGGTTGCATAGTGAAGTGTACTGGGGTTGTGGTGGGGGGAGAATTTTTCTTTTACTTTTCAAAGAGAGGAGTGAACTGGGGAGAGGCTGGGCAGGGAGAAAAATGCAACAATGAATGAATGGAAATCCAAAATCTCTGTAAATGTTCATTAAAATGAATAAAATTTAAAGAAAAAAAAACATATTTAAAGAGATTACATTAGCAAGTGACATCTTTAAGGATCAGTGCAGGGTTTCTCTTATCTAGGTGAACTGTAGGCAATTTTCCTGAATCCTCCTCTATTGCAAGTACTGAAAAAGTAATCGGAATCAACATGAGGTGGATTGTGCAGTTTATGGAATAATGTAGTCCTTCAGTGAGATGGATTGACACAGCAGTGGCTTAAGCACAGAGATTGTAAGAATGGTGCAGAAGTGTTTATTTCTGTTGTATAAGGAGTTGCCTTGGTCTTAAATGAGATTTCTTCATTGATTCCACCCACCCCCTGCCCCCAACTCTTATGTTTCCAGGAATTCTCAAAACTTTTCTTTAATTTTTCTATTATAACCACTAACCAACCTTTTGAGAGAGCTCTGGCAGCTTCCTTTCGATACAGTGACTCAGTATAGTCTTTCCATCTTCTTTTAATAATTCCTGGATCATTTAACATTCTGCCGAAAGCATCCTTGATTATAGCAACTCAAGGTTTGAATTTGTTCTTCAGTTCCTTGAGCTTAA